CTTGTGCATAGGTAGGGTTTCTAGGCCTGGCCAGCGATCAGGGCTGATCTGTGGGGCGACCAGTGGGGTGATCGAGGGATTTCCTGCTGTTACCCACCTTGGCAGGCCTGGGGCCTGTGGGCTGTGGGCATCTCCTGTGTTGAGCATCTGCCCCCTGTTGGTTAGTGCACATCATAGTGACCTGTCCTTCTGCCAATCAGTTGATTTGCATATTAGGCTTTTATTATATAGGACATTTAAAATTAAATACTTTTAGAAATTACTGCATTTGTTTACATGGCATATATATACTTTAGGTCTATAAGTTATAAAAATGTTTTATTGAATGTTTCATTACATAATTATGAAGTCCTAAGGAAATCTGATAAAACTATAAATTTGTTAGAAGGACAAATTTACAAATTGATTTATACCAAGCCTGATCCTATATAATAAAAGCCCAGCAACTGAATGGCGGAATGACCAGAACAACCGGTCAACCAGTTACTATTATGCGCATTGACCACCAGGGGGCAGACACTCAACGCAGGAGCTGCCCCTTGGTGGTCAGTGAGCTACCACAGTGGGAGCGCTGATCGTTGCCTCCTCACCCCAGGCTCCTCCTCCTTGCTTCCTACTGCCTCCTCCAGACGCCTTCAGGCCATGCAGCACCACTGCCACCAGGCTCACAGAGCTGACCCCGGAGTCTGGGAGGCGGGTTCGTGGCTGCCACAGGACTGAGGCCTACTCCGTTGCCCCTCAGTGCTATTGTCCCTGGGCCTGGCCCTGACTGGGTCCCCTGGAGAGGCAAGTGCTCCAGCTCCACAGAAGATGCCAAACCAGGGAGCATCTGCTCCGAGGGCAGGTCCACAGCCACTTGGCAGACCAGGATGATCCCTGCAGGCCACACCCCCTGACCAGTGCATGAATCCCGTGCACCGGGCCTCTAGTATCATTATAAACAGTTTGTTGAATCACTGATCAGACAATGTATAAAATTTTTAAATTGGCAAAACCTCTGAAAAATCCAATACTCAACCATAAATGATTACTCAACTTGAAATAGCAGTAAAGTTGTCTAACAAATGCATCAGTTACATTCCAATGAACATAATTAAATTACCATTTAGCTGCTCTTGACAAAATAACAGAGCTCCTGAAAAAAATCCACATTTTCTCTACTAAAGTCAAGATGCTGTGATAAGAATCCACAGGTTAATGTAGCCACTGGAGATGATGGGAATTTGATGATTACACAATTGCTTTTCCTTTGACAACACCCTTTTCCCACTTAATAAAGAAATTTAGAAAGATTAGTTAAAAGGCTGGGATTTCCAAGATTAGCATGAAATCTACTCTTCAACTAATCAAACTGAGGTACCACATTTGTTGAGCTCTGACATGAGACAAGATGAAAGAAATGGGAGTATCTGTGCCCCAACCCAATGGACAGTAGTCAGCACACAGCCAGAATATATACCCCCAAAACATTAAAAATATATATTACAGTTTTAAAAACCAAGGAGAAAACCCCAGGCTATTGTATTGCAAACCTAGTTCAAGCTAACAGATTATAATAAGTTTAAAGTAATGATCTAACTAAAAGAATCAATCACTATACTAATTAATATGTGTCAGATGTGGAGTACCTACTCTACTAGTGACTCTTGCTTTTTTGAAGGGGACAATACAATTTTATTTTGAAAATAAAGAAGACAACTACAGATCTAAGGTTACTGAAATGTAGGTGTGAGGAGCCGGCACGGTCATGGCATACTCAGCCCCAGGGTGCCTTGTGTGCCATGCCAGCTCGCCTGGTTCAGTGACCCTGAGTGAGGGTGGTGAAAGGCTTAGAAAAGACAGACATGAGAATGAAAGCTGGGTCTCAGTGGGACGCTGCCCCTCTGATGGACAGCGCCAGCTCCCAAAAGCCGTCTTTATTTTATAGCAGATGCCAGGAGGCAAAGTAGGGGCTTGATCAAGATGTTTACAACATTCTTGTGGGTTTCAACGCTACTCAACTACATGCACCTGAACTCTATCACTCAGGCACGTGGGGCCACTTGTTCGGACCACAGGCTCAAGCTTATAACTATAGCTGTTGGCTATAATTATGCTGGGAAGGCTCTGCCCTCCAAGCTGGGACTTGCACGTGGCAATGAGAGGACTGTGCCCTCTCAGTAGTCCAAGGCTTGAACCTGTCCAAAACACTCTGGCTGCGCCCCACAGTAGGCTTTCTGGTGCTTAACCAAAGGTCGTGTTACAAACGATCCAGTGGCTGGCTTCCCATTGCTCTTAGGTAAAGTCCTCAGTTCTTAAAAGTTCCTACCTCTTTCTATTGTTCTCCAGGTTCAGAACAGCTGGCTTATTTGGTTTCTTGAATACACTGAGCTACTTACTCCACATACCATTTCTTGACTTCCCTGGCCTACTTTTCGTCTTCAGCTATAACATTCACTCCTTATCATCCCAGACTCTGTTAGTCCCTTGTTATGTCACCCCATACCTCTCTTTCATAGTACTTTTCATCACTGCAATTGTTTGTGTAGTTACTTCTTTAATGTATGCCTTCCCAGTATGATACCATTTTGAGGGTAGGATTTGTATCTCTTTCCATCTCCAAATCTCTCTCTCATCTTGCATAGTCCCTGTGACACTGTAGATATCGAGTAAGAGTGAATTACAGAGCTTCCTTATGGGAGCCACGGTACATCACAGTGAATCAAATCAGCTGTTTTTTCTTCTCTAACTGGACTAGCTAGTGAACAAATCAAGTAAAAAGGGGATGGAGACATGCCTCCATCCCCGGCCATGCTGTGATGAGGTGAGTGACCATGTGGAATGACAAAGAGGCTATAGGTCAGTGGTTCTCAACCTCTGGCCCTTTAAATACAGTTCCTCATGTTGTGACCCAAACATAAAATTATTTTTGTTGCTACTTCATAACTGTAATGTTGCTACTGTTATGAATCGTAATGTAAATATCTGATATGCAGGATGGTCTTAGGCAACCCCTGTGAAAGGGTCGTTCGACTGCAAAGGGATCGAGACCTACAGGTTGAGAACCACTGCTATAGGTGGACAGGCAAAGTAACCTGGTAGGGACTTGATATTCCACAGTCATAGAA